AAATTCTGAAAAAATTAAGCATTCGGAACCGATTAAATATAAAACCTTTTGCATATAATTCTGAGATTTCAGCATATTCTTTCTCGAGTAAATTTAGTCAAAGATTTTATTAATAATAAATATTTTACAATACTGAGAAGGACGCTAGAAGTTCCTGCATGATCAAATTCTTTTCTAGAAATCAAGTGAGAATATTGCTTAATAACAGATAACTAAAATAAATCACACATAAAACTCGCCATATTTGAAGAAATTTGAAAAATAAATGTGATAAACTGAATTGAAGCTAACTTTCAAGTGTTACAAATAGATTGCGCGCTAAAATTTCTGGGATTTGTTTTATGCAGTTTGTAAAGAATCAATCCCAGGAATGTTATCTAATTAAAATGGTATTTAAGCCCTTTCTCATTTTAAAGCAGTTTCAAAATTATCGTTATATTACGTACTTTCTTACATTTGTAATTCTAAGATTACCAATTGCTATTTTTTGATTTTAAAGTTGTTATCATTCAAAAGTTTTATGCTATCTGATTTTTGATAACAAGTTCTGTGCCAGTTTTGTGAGCAATAAAATAAATATTAGGAAGAATATGTTTTTAATAAAAGCAAGCAGTCGGAATTAATTCATTCACTTCAGTATAGCACTGACTAAGATGAAGTATTTGCTAGTCTTGAAATATTCACAATAGTAAGCCTCTCTTGAAGGAGCCAAGAATAGGCCTGGTGAGATGGGCGTAGATAAGCCGAAGAATTTGGCCTACATAACAAAAGTAGCCAAAGATAGAGTAAACTTAAACTGCTATTGATTCTTCCACTTATTTATTTATTTGTTTCAGTCTGCAGATCTCTACAAGGAATTGCTTTTGCGTAATATTTTTTCAATATTTGATCCATTTACTGCTCAGAGAATGGAAGATTCGTTACTGGTTGTTGGATCAACAAGCGCTCGACTACCTTTTAATACTTTGCAAAATTGGACAAATAAAAATATTTTCGTCTCATCGATCGATGAAACTCAGATTGGAGATCAAGATCAACAACCTTACCAAGTCGAGGATGATCAAGGTGATATCTAACTTTCCATTATTATTATCTGAAATACTCTAAATTGCGCATCTCCAAGGTGGTAACCGAAAGTTGCTATTGGAATTTTCAAAATAAAAGCTCTTTGATGAAGTGATAGCAAACAATTGTGGAACTGAAAACAGCTTTTAATAATCATAAAGTTAAAAGTTTAAATATGTTAGCTGAAAGAATTCAGAAGTTTTGGCAGTAGAAAATGATGAAAACACATCCGGGCAAGCCATCACTTCATTACAAGCAGCGTGGAATGTTACCAACGCAATTCAAGGAATGTTCATAGTTGGCTTACCTATCGCCGTTAAGGTTGTCATTATAACATCAATCAGTTTAAGTAAAAAAGCAAAAAAGAGCAACTTGAAAAAAGTTAAAATCAGAGCAGTACAAATACTTGATGAACTGATATTTCTAACTAAAAATTTTATTACACTTGAAAATTTGTACAGTTTTTCTGGATAGTTGAAGTTTACGGTTTCCTTAAAATTTTATTTGTTGCGCATTTTTACATATTGGTTCTATTCATTTCAGGTAGGTGGATGGTGGACTGTTGCAGCAATCATTGGCATTGCATATTTGTGCTATTGGACTGGTGTTTTACTCATTGACTGCTTGTACGAAAATGGAATCAAAGTAACTATTTAGAGTACTAAACAATCAGTGACTGCTTGCAAAATGCTGAAAAAATTGATGACCACTTTTATTGGTCAAAAAGTTACTATTTGATTTTACAAATCACCCAATTCGGCTCACAAAAGTCGCTGATTGAAGTAAATAGTGAAAATCTCGAAAATATTGAAACATTAAAAACAATAAAAACAAACAATTATCTGCAAAAATGTTTCAAAATTTTCGATCCTTGGAAAAGAATAACGGATTAATGTTCTCGAAATAAAAACCTTCCTGTGTTTTTTTCATCTGCTATAATCAATCTTAACTATAAAATGACAAATTTTTAGAAAGGACTGAAAAAAGTAAAATAAAAAATGTACAAAAATCAATTGATCTATCTCAAAAGTTTTAGAAATTTTGATCAATACTATAAAATCCTTTGTAGATTCGTAAATCGTATCGAGAAATAGCTGAAGCATACCGTGCAGGAATGGGTCGTTTTGTGTTATGCGCTCAGCTTACAGAATTGCTTAGCACGTGCATTATTTATATTGTAATTGCTGCTGATTTACTGCAAAGTTGCATACCATCTGTAGGTTAGCTAATTATTTAGCTTAAAAATTATTATAGTACTTATAAGTCATAGTATACGTTATTCAGATACGGTAAAGCTATCATTGAAGGACTCTCCTTAGTTGTCAACTACAACCATTTGTTGACTTAGGTGATAATGGTATAACAGAAACATCGTAATGCTTAAAACTGACAAAACAAAGAATTCACTTTGGATTAAAATAATTCACTTCTGGTAAAACTACAGTACTCGCAATACCTTTGTAATTTTTGTCTGAAAATAATAAAAAATCATGTCCGTTTTGCAATTAAAAATTCCTATAATACAGCTATTTAAAATGAAGTAATTATATTGTTAAATACGCTCATTTAATGAATATTTTTAAGTCTTACTCTAATTATAATTTTGCATATTTATAGCAAAAAATTTGAGCGAAATTTTTGCTAATTAAAAGTTAGCCAAAATTGAAATTGTCAACAAAGTAAAAGCTCACAAAGATTAAAATTCATAGCAAAGTTCATACAATAGTAATAAGGTCAATTAAATAATGAATACAAATTCTATTACTTCCAAGCACAGTAATAAAATCGTAGTAATAAACTGCAGATAAATCAGCATGGATGATGTTTGTAACCACTGCTCTGCTCGGATGTTCTTTTTTAGAATCTATACGAGTAGTTAGCAATCTGAGTATGGCAAATGCCATTTCGCATATGATAATCAACGCTATCGTTTTAATATACTGCTTATTTCAAGTAAGTAAATTTTTCACATACCAATTTCCGTACTGTATCATATATTGCAGTCATATTGTACAAATGAATTTGCAAGAAATTATGACCAAATATTTGAAAAAAATTGACACAAAGTAATTTTATTAAAGTAATATCCCGGAAAATAGCATCAAAACACTGCAGTATTAGCAAAGAATTTAGATTAAAATTGAAAATACTAAATCGCAAATAAATATTTTTCACAATTTCTACATATAACACACACTTGATCTCTGCAATTCATTAATTATTGAAATTATATACAAATTTTGCAAAAAATTACTGATATCTGATTGGGTATGGAGTGAAATACCATTCACATTTAATATTCGGACAATGCCAACAGTAATCGGTGTTGTCGTTTTCGGATATACTTCACACATATTTCTTCCTTCTTTAGAATCGTCGATGGAGGTTCGTTATTAATTTCTACTATATGCATTGATAATTCAGATATATTTATATTTTTTTTTCTACTTAGTAACTCTAAAGTTCAGTTTAGTATGCAATAGATAAATCTGATCAAGTTTGGTACCTGGCTCTCGATAAAATCAAACTTGACCATCTCACATACTGATGGCATTTCTAGGATCCAAGCCAATTTAAATGGATGCTTCGATGGTCTCATATCGCTGCTGCAATATTCAAAACTATTTTCGGTCTTTTTGGCTTTCTCACATTTGGCGAACTTACGCAAAAAGAAATTTCCAACTCACTACCAAACCAAACATTTAAAGTTTAATTATTATCAAAAAATTTAATAGAAAAAGTTCTGGATATCTTTAGTTCTTGATTTACAGCATTCAAAAACATCCATTTTAAAAGTTACTACTTTTACTTTAACTTACTTCCAATTTATTTTCGGAATTACTACTTTTATTTAAACCTGTTTTCTAAAGTTTGATTAACTGTTTTGAATAACCAAAATTGTGAACTTCAGATCTTCTAGTACAACAATAAATGCTTCTAATCCCAAATTTTGTTGAAGTAAATAATAAATAATTGCAAGTTTAGGTAATAGTTAATTTAGTGCTTGTGATCAAAGCACTTTTTTCATACCCATTACCATATTTTGCCGCTGTTCATCTGATTAAAGATAATTTATTTATGGGCACAAAAAAAACAATTTTCACAAGGTAAATACTAATTTTGAACTATATTACTAGGTGTAGAGAAATAGCTTTCCAGTAATTCCTTTCTTGATGATTAAACTTGCAATAAATATGAATTCCTTTCCTATAACTCATGAAGTTTCAAGGTAAAATGCAAACAGAAAGTTATCAGCAAGTTTTCTGCAAATGTCAGTCGTTGAAAAAAAAT